TATACATAAACAATTAATACATAAAGTCGATGTATTATTCCAACCGCTATATTCGATAGCATACTCAATCGATTAGTTTTAGTTTGCCTAATCATCATGCATTGTCTACAACAATTAAATTCAACCTGGGTGAGCGATTAAATGAATCCAACTACACTCGTTAATCCCATAATCCTTTCAATTTGAATACTCTCAATTCAATTCCTCATTTCTCAAAATTAATTATACAAATTAATTTATCCAACTAATTAGGGCATTCTCTCATAATTAACATAACAACCCCAAGGTTCCACTTTCATCCATAGTTCATCATCTATATCATTTCTCTATGCCAAACATGCATATAGGTTTAATTATAAATAAAACCCCATCTTTTGTAAAATTACACAAAGATCCAAACTTTCTCAAAATTACCCAACAACCCCCAATATATCAAAATGCTAAAATTCAAAGACAAAGCTCATAAAGAGGAGTAGGATATCCCTACCTCGAAGTTAGAGCTCAAACGGGGAAGTTGAAGAAAACCAAAAATGCTCCGAACTCAAAGATCCACGGATCAAAATGGAGCCTTCGACGATCAACACACATTTTACAAAGACCGGAGGATAGGGAGACACTCTAACTAGATCAAACCCTAGAGAGAAGGGAGATCCTAGAGAGAGAAGCTCTCAAAAACGTTTTTAGAAAGTAAGAGAGAGAGAGAGAGAGAGAAAGTAAGAAGTGACTTTAAAACGCCCAGCTGCTAAATGATATACGACATTCCCGCTCGAGCGGATAACAGGACGCTCGAGCGTCAAGAACAGAAAACTGGGTATGCTCGAGCGCAAGAATGCCCGCTCGAGCTCCAAGACACAAAGACAAAGGACACCCGCTCGAGCGCGAAAGACCAGTCCGCTCGAGCGTAGATTTTCATCTCTCAGAACTTTCACCAACGAGGTACTAACCGCTCGAGCGCCAACAAGCCCGCTCGAGCGCAACCCGTCAGAGCGCAATAAACCCGCTCAAGTGTAGAAAACATACCTACAAAAGTTTTGCAGGGACTCGAAATGCTGGAAGGGTGTAAACCCCGCTCGAGCGTAAAATGACCCGCTCGAGCGGACCACTCAAAAACTGGGCAACAGCAATGGGAGCCAAAGCTCTACCAACCTGTAACAACCAAGCCCAACACATCCTAAAACTCAAACAAATGGATTTAAAGGATGACAACAAGATAGATACAACTACCAACTCCATGGAACCGAGTCCGGAATACAACTGAACAGTAAAGGGGACAACCGGGATCGCTATAGAATTCTAATTTTGTGGGTTGGGCTGGTTACATAATCCTTCAAAAACTTAAGCAGCTAAAGTTGGAACTAAAGATATGGAACTCGGAAGTGTTTGGCAATGTCTTATCTAAGCTCCAAGCTGCAGAAGATGAATTGCATGCATTAGATATCACTGCGGAGGCTAGAGAGCTACTTGCTCCAGAAAAGGGCAGGCGAAAGGAGGTTAGAGGTGATGTGTGGAAACTCTATAGGAGGGTAGAATGGTTATGGCATCAGAAATCCAGATTGAATTGGTCACTACAGGGGGATAAAAACACTAGATATTTTCATGTTTTTGCAAGTTCTAGACAAAGCAGAAATATGATTAACTCCATTCCAGTTAATAGTGTGCCTTGTGAGGATCCTAGCAGAGTTAAGCAAGAAGTGCTCCGTCACTTCAGTAATCAATTCATGGAAAGTTAGGTGAATAGGCAGCCCTGCATCTCTCCTCTTGGTATCTGACTTCACGGAAGCAGAGGTTTTGGCAGCCATTAAAGAGAGTAGCGGTAACAAAGCTCCAGGCCCGGATGGATTCAACTTGTTGTGCTAGCAAAAATTTTGAAAAATTATGAAGCTTGAGATCATGCAATTTTTTAGAGATTTCCACAGTAACAACAAGCTCACCTATGGTATCAATAGCTCCTTCACTACCCTCATTCCCAAACTTGCCAATTCCATCAATCTGACTGATTATAAACCCATTAGCTTGGTTGGTTCTCTATACAAAATGTTGGCAAAAGTTCTTGTGCAAAGGATGAAGCCAGTGATGCCCTTAATTATTGGTGACGCACAAACAGCTTTTGTAGGTGGTAGGAATGTCATTGATGGGGTGTTTATTGCTAATGAACTAGTTGATGATTAGAAGAAGTCCAAACGGCGAGGGCTAATTATCAAGTTGGATTTTGAGAAAGCCTTTGATTCTATAAACTGGGAATTCTTATTCTCCATGATTGCCAGTTTTGTGTTTGGGTCTAAGTGGATCTCTTGGATGAAAGCCTGTGTGTCTATAGCCCGTATCTCCATTCTAGTGAATGGATCACCAACTAGTGAGTTCTCTCCGCAAAGAGGCCTTAGGCAAGGTGATCCATTATCACCTTTCCTATTCAATATTGTTGCTGAAGGGCTCAACATTCTTCTTACCAGAGCAATTAATCTTGGCATTCTTAAAAGAATATTGGTTGGAGCTAATAAGGTCCTCATATCCCATCTCTAATTTGCTGATGACTCTATCCTCTTTTGTGAAACAAATTTGGAACAGGTGGTTGTAATCAAAAGAATCCTCAGGTGCTTTGAAGTTCTATCCAGTCTTAAGATCAACTATCACACAAGTGTTGTTTGTGGAGTTGGTGTGGTGGATGAGTCACTACACTCTTTTGCTCACCTCTTGAATTGCAAGGTGCTCGACTTACCTTTGAAATTGTTGGGGCTACCTCTAGGTGCTAACCCTGGTAGGAAATCAACTTGGAAACCTGTACTTGACTCTGTCAGAGCTAGACTTTCAGGATGGGCGAGGAAAACATTGTCTTTCGCTGGAAGATTAACTCTGATTAAGTCCGTTCTTTCAAGCTTACCCATGTACTATCTCTCTCTCTTTAGGATGCCTGAAGGTGTGGCTTGTGATTTTGAAAAACTAGAGGTTGCATTCCTGTGGGGTGGTTCTGAATTAAAAAAGAAAATTCATTTGGTCAAATCGCTAGAAGTAACAAAAGGTGTTCCTCAAGAGGGTCTAGCCATTAGGAGGATTAGGGATGTTAACTCTTGCCTGCTCCTCAAATGGTGGTGGAAATTTGGTACTCAAACTAATGCTCTTTGGAGGCAAGTTATATGCAGTAAATATAAGGTAGAGGTTGACTGTTGGCTTCCTTCAGTGAAAACTTCCTATAAACATTCCAGGGTGTGGAAGGATATCATGTTCATAGGGGTTCAGAGTAGAATCATTTTTAACTACTTCTTGGTTAATTGCCTAATTAAGGTGGGTGTTGGCCACAGGATCAAATTCTGGCATGATAAGTGGTATGGTGCCACCTCCCTCAAGAACAAGTTTCCTACTCTTTTCACCCTCTCCTCTGCCAAGTCTGGTTCCCTTCACTTTTTTTATGCTATGAAATCTAGCCCCAATGGTTGGAATCTCCTATATAGAAGACCATTATATGCTTGGGAGTTGGCGGATGAAGCTAGATTGTTCGATTTGTTATCCTCTGCTCCTTCTCTAAGACTTGAGTGTGTTGATAGTCTGTCTTGGGCTGCTGCAGTTGCTGGTTCTGGTATGTTCACTGTGTCCTCCTTATACTCCTTTAGTATATCTCTTCTTGGGCCTCCACTAGTTCTAAGCAAGTTTATTTGGAACCACATCTTACCTCCCATAGTCTTATTGTTTGGTTGGTTGGCATGGAAAAACAAAATTAAAACTTCTGAATTCTTGCACAACCTTGGCATCCTAGACAACAACATTTCCCCCTCTTGCATCTTCTGCAATTCTGCTCCAGAATCTGCCCAGCATATTCTGCTACATTGCTCCTTCTCTTGGGCCATTTGGTCTTATATGCTTCAGGATTGGGGTCTCCAATGGTGCATTTCTCTATTTGTTTCAGATCTGTTCTCCTGGTCGATGTGGGTGAATTTTAAGTCTTTTCTCAGGAAATTTTGGAGAGCCACTCCCCTAGTTGTCCTCTGGTCTCTTTGGAAACATAGAAACGAGTGTATTTTCTCTGATGTCCCTCCTAACTCAGCTGACCTGTGGGACCTCATCAAGGTTAGATTAGCTTTTTGGCTTAAAGCCTCCTTTAAGAACTTCCCTTACTTTGTTAATGATATTGTTCTGAATTGGAGGCAAATTAGGGGCTGTCATTGATTATCTGCTACCTGCCAAATATGATCTGCTACTCTGTTAGTGATCTGCTCTGCTGGTTTGTTATATAGGAAGGCTGGTTTGTTGTTTTGATCATGAATGGTTAGGCTGTTTGGTTGTTCTACTTTTGTGACCATCTGGAATGCAAATGGATTAAGCGCTAAATTGTTTGGGAAGGTTGTCTCTGCCTTGGTGGTCATTTTTTCTGTATGGATTAAGGGCTGTATTGATTTCAGTACGCTGCTTAATGAAAGCACAGATTGTCAAAAGCTTTTTGCATCTATTTGGCTGTATTGATTTCATTTAATGGCTGTTATCAAGATTGGTGGTATGCTATGCTGTGGTTGCTGGGTTCTTTTTGGTGGATTGCATCTGTTATGGTGAGATCTGCAACTGGTTTTTTGGTGGTCTGCAAATAGCTATTTCTTGGTATGGCTGGTATGTTGCTGGTCTGCAAATAACATGGCTAGTATGGCTGGTATGTTGCTGGTTTGTTGCATCTGTTATGGTGAGGTCTGCATATAGCTATTTTCTGGTTGCTGCTCTGTGCTATTTGCTGGTTTGCTCTGTATACTGCTCTGTTTTGTTCTTGCTGGTTGTATGGAGTTGCCTCTGCCTGTTGTTGTGGTTGTTTTTTTTGAGTTTTTGTTCTCTTTCCTGTTGGTTCCTCTCCCACTGGCACTTGGAGCTTTCTGTTAGCTCCAAGTTCCTCTTTATTGATGTATTTTATCATACCGTGTATGTTTATTCATCAATAAATATTTTTTTTTGGCCGATCAAACAAAAAAATAGTTAGAAATTTGAGAGGGTACGAAATAGAGAAATATATTTCAATACTCAATACGTGAATTATAAATGATTTGAATTACAAATTGTAGGTGCCTTCTATGGGCAATCAATGGAATGTAAACACAAATGATAAATGTCGCTAATGAATTAGATATTCAATAGTAATTCAACGACTTACACAATTTCCTATGTCACACCTTCACATTACAAACTATTATTTTCATAGCAATGATGGGGAATTGAACTCTTAACTTCCTCTTTTACTGGAGGTCCTCAATATTGTATGATGAACACGTGTAATTCAAGATGAGGACATACACAAAGAGTTAGTTAATTTGTATACCAACTCATCAATGTCCTTATCAGAAGTCCCACCTTCATTAATAGCCTCTTTGGCCAAATCCCTCCATTTTATGGTATTCTTTTTTAATTCTTCTCCCCCGTCTCCTTCCATCACTTCCCTTATACAATCCTCAATTTCTTCTCTTCCAACAATGCCCTTCTCATTAACCTTAACCTTAATACCCACCTTCCAAACATCCTGGACAAACTTTGCATTCGTCGTTTGATCAGTCCACTGCGGCATAACCACCATTGGCACTCCCAAACTCAATGCTTCGATGGTCGAATTCCATCCACAATGTGAGAAAAAGCAACCAATTGTCTCGCTCGCTAGCACTTCCAACTGTGGACTCCATCCAACCAACAAGCCCTTGTTCAATGTCTCTTCCACAAATTTTTTTGGTAGCTTAGCCTCCTCGGAAGCCCTAACTACCCACAAGAAGTAGCAATTGGTTCTCTTCAACCCCCATGCTAGTTCCTCTATTTGTTCTTCACCAAGATTGGCCATGCTACCAAATGACATGTAAACAACGGACTTTTTCGGCTTGTGGCTTAGCCATTCTAAGCAAATGGAGGGGTCTAATTGGAAGAGGTTCAACCCGTAATCATTGTCATTCTCGACACGCTTGTCCAAGTAGAGAGATGGAATTGTTGGGCCAATCGTCATCAGTGGACTAACTTTTGACATTGAATCCACCACCTAATATAATGAAAAAGACGTTAGAACTCCCAAGAAAAAACATTGCACCACAGTAATTTTGGTTTGTGATAAGGTACAAAGTATACATATATGTTCTTATACATCTCCATTTGTTCAAGAAAATGAGGTACACAACATGTACATCAATAAAACAAATTTGAAAAAATAAAAAATAAAATAGTAAAGTACAGAGAATTTAGAATGCATGGCCTAGATTGTATGGCCCCTACATCAAGAACTTTAAATGTAAACAATTTTATTTTATTTTATTTTATTTTATTTTATTTTTTTTCAACTAGTTTAAATGTACACCTTAGATCTAAAATTCTTGATAAATTTCTGAATTATCCTTTGGTTCCAAAGATAAGAACTTAACATCTATGGCCATTATTCACGGAAGATGTGCGTGGTCCACAAAGAATTTTATGTATACTATAAATCTAAATTATTTTTTTGATAAATTTATAGAAAAAATGCTAGTGGTTTCTAATTCCATTGACTTGACGCATATAGGGCCACAAATAAGAATCAGGATCCTCCCCTTGAGGTTCTTACTTGACAACTTACTTACTAAGTTATTAGGCCTACTTTTAGGTCCAATTTTGATAATTCGAACCGTTTACATCTTAAGATTTGCTGAGTATATCATACTTGTAAAAAATCAAATTGATCGGATATCAAAAAGCATGTGTTTGGATCATCGAACTAAAAATTATTTTTTTAAAAAAAATTGATAAATAGTTTTCCGAACATATACTTTCTGATATCCGATCAATTTGATTTTTTACAGGTATAATATATACTCAACAAATCTTAAGATGTGACGGTTAAGATTAACGAAATTATGCCTAAAAGTGGACCTAATGACCCAACAAATAAGAAGTCAAGTAAGCACCTCAAGGAGAGGCCACAAATAATATACATGGGTTGCGGGGTCGTACTCTTCTCTATTTTGTGTACCCAATTAGTCTCCATGGTTTGTTTTTAATTGGTTTTATTTATATATATATATATATATATTTATATTTATATATATTTTTAAAAGCAACTTCATCGCCTTTTGTCTATTTTGAGAAGATAGTAAAAAGTAATTTTTTGACTCTTAATCAAATTTTTTGCTTTTTAGGGCAAATAATTTGAGAAGTTGATAAAAAATTACTATTGACTTCTTTAATTAATATTTATTTATGATGTCAATTCACAATAAAATGACTAAACTATCACTATTTAATTTAAAATATTTATAAATTCACTCATATAGTACATTTTGACCTATGAGGAATAAAATTGTAATTTTACTATTGGTTAAAAACCAACTTTCTAAATAAAAAAAAAAAAAAAAGAAGTAAAAGAGCCAACTTTAAACTTTTATTACAAACCAAAAGAAGTGACTTAAAAACATGCTACCAAAAGCGGCCTTTATATTTTGACAGGGTAATGTTTAGGTGTGCAACCCCCTTAAGGTTGCACACTATATGCAAGGTGTAAATGCACAAAAATATCGTAAATACAAGACATACAAAGGTATAAATGTAAGGTCATAAATGCCTTACATACCATATGCGAGGCACGCTTAAGAAAAGTCTATTTTGACAAATACAATCTGTCCAATTAGTTTTCCCAATTTTTGGTGATGTTCAACACAGAATGATCAACACAAAACAGAAGTAGAGAGAGAGAGAGAGAAAGTAAATAAAACTGACTTTATCCTCCAACTTGTAGAAAGTGTTGACAAGAACATAGTCTGCTTTCTCCACATTCAAGAACTGGTTTAATACCACCTCAAAGTAAGCTGGATACGAACCATGCACATATATGAACGATGGCATGTCCTCCAGCTCCAGCATCGGCATCCCCGGAATCGACACCGGCAGCGATGACCGCTCCACCGGCAACTTCAACAGTCCTTCATGAGCATAGTAGTATATGTAATTAACCGCAGAAGGCTGCGTAAAGAAAGCAGCTCCAGCTAAGCCGAACTCTTTGGCTACTTCCAAAGCCCAAGGCAAAAACGCATCATAGACTATGCAATCAATGGGATGGTCTGAGTTTTGATGCCTCTTGATCAGGTCAGCTAGGGTTTTTGAGCCAGTTGCTTCTAGGCGTGTGAGGTAGGCTTGGACATCACCGGCTTGCATGAAGCCGCCTTCATCGTAGCCGTCAGATATGGTGTCGAATTGGACATAGTTGGATTGTGGGTTCATGGTGTTGGAGATGAAAGTGGTGATGGCAAAAGTGGTTTTGAGACCTTTGGAGACAAGGCGTTTACAGAATTGGAGCATAGGGTTAACATGGCCTTGGCTTGGATATGGAAGGGCCAAAACATGTGCTCCATAGGAGGACCCCCTTTCCTTACCCATCTTCTCTCTTACCTTTCTCTTGTATCTTTTCTCTCTTATTTCATATGGACAAACCCTTTTAAATAAAGAAAAAATCATATACAAATCAATTTTCTTCACCATTTTTTAGATTTAATAATTTTTAAATTTAATAATATTTCCTGCTATAATATATAGATAGATAGATAGATTACAAATATACTCCTGAGGTTTGCTTAAACTACAAATTACCCTCTGTGATTTGGAAAATTACAAACACCCAATTGTTAAAAATTTTATTTAACAGAATTAACTAAAAATATAAAATTCATAATTACTCTCCTATAAGATAATAAATTTTTAAATTGTTAATTGAAACATATTTCTAATATTATTAAAAACTGTTAATTGATTTGATAATTTATTAATAAAATGGACAATTTGTTATGAAATTAAAAACCTTAGAGGGTGGAATGTAATTTTCAGAACTACAGGAACGATTTGTATTTTAATCAAATCTCAAAGGGTGTATTTGTAATTTATCCTTTAATTTATGAATATAAAATTAATTTATAGACCAATCATATTGTAACACATATTAACAAAAAAAATTAAACAAAATAAAAAAACAAATAATTACAACTTTCAAACTTAATGAAATGATAATATTTTACAATTATAATAGTATATATATAGATAAATCATAGAATAGATCCTTATTTAAAACTTATATATTATGGGATAAATCATTATAATTTTAAATTTAAATTAATGTGCCCATCAAATTTGAATTTTAAAATGGATTCGTATACTTTCTATTTTTTACTTTATATATTTGATATACTTTTCATTCGAAAGTCATAAATCAAGAGATATTATTATTATTATTATTATTATTATTATTATTATATACATTTGCTTGAATGAGAGCTATAGGGGATTTTTTTAATTATTTAAAATAAAAAATTAGAAATTTTAGTTTGAGATATTGAAACTCTCACAAGACTTGTGGTTATAAACCCCTTTTTACTTATATAATAGACAGATAGATCGATAGATTTAATAAAAATTTGTATTTGTTTTAGATATTTTTTTAATATACAATTTTTTTTAAAAAGATTTTTCATAAAAATAATTTAATAATCCCATCACTAACCATAGTATATAAGAAAAGTTAGAAAGGGTGTAGCAATATGTATAAGAGAAGCCAAAAAGACTTGTGGGTTGAAAGAAGTCAATAAATGCTACGGTTTTTTTTTTATAAAAAAATCAAAAAATTAGAAAATTAAGGCTCTGTTTGGTAGAACTTTGTAACTATGATTTGAGAATATGAGTTGTATTTTAAGTTTGTGTGTTTTAGAATTATGATTTGAGTGTAGAAAATTTGTTTGGTTATGGTTTTTGAATAAAGTGTTGAATTGAGTGTGGAATTGAGTGTAGAATTGAGTTTTGAAAGTTTGATTTGACATGTGAAGTAAGAAAATTTGTTTGGTTATGAGTTTTGAAAAGAGTTTTCAAAACTTAATTCAAATTGCTATAACTCATAACAAAACACATTACTTTCACATTATTGAAAATTTTGATCAACACTCATAACCAAACTCTTTTTAAAATTCAATTAAAAAAATTTATTATTAACAAAAAATAACATTATAAAAAGTTTATTTGTATTGATTTTTTTTTTATTTTTAAAAATTTTAAAAAAATAATAATTTTAATTTAAATATGACTATGTATCATATTAATTTTTTATACTATTATATCTCTCTATAATTAATTTAACCAAAAAGTCAAATCAGCCTACCTGCCGAACAAGTGCTATTTAATACTCGCTCCAACCTCCTTTCTTTGGCATTAAAACAAACACCTTAAACACAATTCGCTAAACCCACCTTCCTTCTCTCTTCTTCTTCAGTCAATCTTCCATCTTCACTGAGTTTTTACACATCTTCATTAATGGCGGACGAAGTCATTCTCTTGGACTTCTGGGTTAGATCTTTTGCGACGAGGGTGAAAATAGCCTTGGCTGAGAAAGGAGTAGAGTATGAGTCTAGAGAAGAGGACCGGAGCAACAAGAGTCCACTGCTCCTCAAGATGAACCTTGTTCATAAGCAAGTCCCAGTGTTGATCCACAACGACAAACCGATGTGCGAGTCACTCATCATTGTTCAGTACATCGATGAAGTATGAAACCATAAATCTGTTGGACAATCTTCACTGTATTTAAATAGATTAAATTCTGTTGTGTATTAAACAACAATAAGAATATGAAGGAATAAAGGAAAAGAGAGAATTTGTTTGATTACAAAAATCAAAAGCAATAAGAGTCCACTGCTCCTCAAGATGAACCCTGTTCATAAGCAAGTCCCAGTGTTGATCCACAACGGCAAACCGGTGTGCGAGTCACTCATCATTGTTCAGTACATCGATGAAGTATGGAATCACAAATCTCCATTGTTGCCTTCTGATCCTCACCAGCTAGCTCAAGCCAGGTTCTGGGCTGATTATGTTGACAAGAAGGTGAGCCCTAACTCTTCCATCTCTGTTTTACCTAACCACTGTTAAGTATTGATTTAAATATTGCGCCTACTTACCAACATTTAATTACTGTATGTTCTGCAGATATATAGTGGTGGGAAGTTGATGTGGTCGTCCACAGGTGAAGCCCAAGAAGCAGCAAAGAATGACCTCATTGGGTGCTTGAAGCTGTTGGAAGGAGAGCTTGGAGACAAGCCTTATTTTGGGGGTGACACCTTTGGCTTTGTGGATGTGGCACTGATCCCATTTTACAACTTTTTCTATACAACTGAGCAGCTTGGCAACTTCAGGACTGTGGCAGAGTGCCCTAAACTTGTTGCTTGGGGTCATAGGTGTATGGAAAAGGAGTGTGTGTCCAAGTCACTTCCTGACCACCACAAGCTCTCTGACTACTCAACATCATCAAACATCAACTACATCATCAAACATCATCAACAACACCAACATCATAAAGCATCATCAACATCATCAAACATCAACTACAGCATCACCAACATTGTGAACATCATCAAACATCAACTACATCTTTAACCTCGTCAAACATCATCAAGATCACCAACATCATAAAACATCATCAACATCATCAAAAATCAACTACATCATTGTGGGAGCCGGATAATTGGAATAATCAGAAGCCTACTATAGAAGACAGATGTTACACGGCTCTATCCTACACGATAAGGATGTCGAATATAATAGATAGGCTGAATAGATACCGAAGTGTGGAGCCGAGTAAATAAGAGGATAATGAGTGACAAGTGGGCATGGCCACGAGGCCCAGGAAACAAGTATAAATAAAGGAACAACAAACTAAGCAAGGTATGTGAGAATTGTTGTGCTTAACATAAAATACAAGCATTCTTAAGTGCGGATTCTAGCTTGTCCGTCGGAGTGCTAATTCCGGCACCCCCGACCGGAGTGTTTATTTCTTTTCAGGTGACCAGAAGAGGATCACGAGCGTTCTCCAGGATCAGAAGAGTATTTCCAAACCACTTCCCCACAATTGGCGCCGTTAGTGGGAATACTTAAACACATCCATGGCGAGCGTGATGGAAGATCCTCCGACAGTCACTGTCGACCTTATACCGCAAGACGAAACCACTCCAAGAAACTTGCTTGGAACAGAGACTATCGCCGCAAGACGTGCCTTGAATTTCGCCTCACCCTCGACTTCGGAGCACGAGACAATGCAGGTGATCATGGAACAAGCAAAGCAAAATGAATAGAGGTTGGAGAACATAATCGCTGAAAACGAACGTCTTCGTGAAGATTTGGCCTTGGAAATGGCGAAGTCTAAGCAAGCTGCGCGCCTAAATCCGGAACGATCTCCGAAGGCAGGTGGTCGACAACCTTGAGCACGACAAGACACTGATAGTGACTCCGACTCATTATCCTTGGAGCCCGGGAAGAAGGGACGACATGAAACCACCAACTCTTCCGAAGAAAGTCCCCATACAATGCACAAGTGAAGAAGGAACAGTTCAGACGAAGACCAACACGATCCCTTCGTACGACAGATTGCAAAGGCTGCGCTACCCAAGAAATTCAAAGCACCGTCGTTCACCTTGTACGACGGCAAATCAGACCCCACCGACCACATCCACCACTACAAGCAGGCCATGACATTGTATGCAGACGACGAGGCCCTCATGTGTTGAATATTTCCCAGCAGTTTGGGACCATTGGCGGTTAGGTGGTATTATAAACTGGAGCCGGCTTCGATCAAAACCTTCCACCAACTACAGAAATCCTTCAGGGCCAGATTCATCACCAACGAAGTCCAGCCGAAGCAAGCCGACTCTCTCTGGGCAATGCAAATCCTCCTAGGAGAAACACTAAGAGCATATTCGGCGCGATATTGGGAATGCTTTAATCTTGTTGATGACGCTTGCAACAAATCCATGGCCATCACCGCCTTCAAAATGCGATTACACCCAGGTAGTGCCCTTCGCAGTTCCTTGACTAGAAGACCTCCTAAAACAGTTTGGGGGTTGATGAAGAAAGTAGAGGAATACTGCAAAGTGGAAGATGACGCCTTGCGGGTTAAAGCCGGACACGTGGCCAACAAAACGGCCCCTCTCGAAATCACTTAGCCAATAAGTTCCGGACCACCTCAGAGCCCTGAACTACGACAGCGGGCTAAACGAGACAAGAGACGGGAATCTCGCCGATCCAGCGATCAATGCTGACACCAAGCAAATGAGCAACTGCAGGTCAATAGCAAGCGCACAAAGCGCGCCAACAAGAAATATACGGAGCTGTCAGAGCCAATCAATTCGATTATGTCCAAAATCCAACATCTTCCGTTTTTCAAATAGCCATCCAAGATGGTGGGACCTCCTGACACGAGAAGGCGGGACATGTGTTGTGAATATCACAAAGATCACGGTCATGATACAGACAGTTGCTATGCCTTGAAAGATCACCTTGAGGAATTGGTGCAAGATGATTGGCTCCAGCAACACGTCCGGAAGAGCACAATCAAAACTGTCGCCCTTAGGCAGAAGTCACCTCCCCTCGGCGTTATACATATGATATACAACCTTCCAACGCCATGTACCATACACGTAATTCATTCAACCCCCCAGAAGAAACGCACACAAACGAAACAGCCCCATGAAGCTCCGAGCATTACCTTCGACGATTCCAATCTTATCGGCATAACGCTCCCCCATATTGATCCATTGGTTATTGAACTACATGTGAACCGATTTACCGTTGAACGCGTCCTCATAGACCAGGGGAGCACTTCGGAGGTCATGTATTATGAGACCTTCATCAAACTCGGCTTCAACAAATTAGACCTGTCTTTGGCTCCTCATCCATTATTCGGCTTCAATGCAAATCCAGAGTACCTGTTGGGGAAAATCAGGTTACCTGTTCAGGCGGGCTCCCAAACAGTGGATGTGGACTTCTTGGTCGTCAAGCTCCCTTTGTCGTATAACCTCATCATGGGGCGAACGTGGTTACATACTATTTAGGCCGTGCCAAGCACCTATCATCAGCTTCTACGCTTCCCAACCAAACACGGCGTTGAGCAAATCTGTGGTTGCCGGCAATCCGCACAAGCATGCTATCTCCTTTCTAGAAAGACACCAATGGAGACGCAGGTCAACTCCACTAAAGTCTCGAATTGAGATAGTCTCGACGATGTCGGACGGCTCCCTGACGAAAAGCCACGGAAGCTCTAGGCGATACCAGCAGCAGCTTCCCAAGACATATGTTTAACGCGTCCAGTTGCGCCGCTACACGCCGGGAAAGTTGCTCCTGAAGGTATTTCCGGATGATAAGAGGCCGGTTGATGGAAAATTAGGCACGTGGCCTTGCTCCTAATGCACTTGTGCAAATTCTATCATTAAACCTGACCTGTGCAATCCAGTTCAAAAGTGTTCCAAATAAAGTTGTGCAATCCAGTTCAAAAGTGTTCCAAATAAAGTCTCCGGATTCGGAGCCCCATCGGTGCATGACGTCTTTGGGCCGATAAAGCCTCCGGATTCGGAGCGCCCTTAGTGGATGTCACAATTGGCCAAATAAAGTCTCCGGATTCGGAACCCCATCAGCGTATGACGTCTTTGGGCCGATAAAGCCTCCCGATTCGGAGTGCCTTTCGTGGATGTCACGATTGGCCAAAAAAAAGTCTCCGGATTTGGAGCCCCATAGGCGCATGACGGTTTTGGGCCGATAAAGCCTTCGGATTCGGAGCGCCCTTCGTGGATGTCACGATTGGCCAATCGGATTCGGAGCGCCCTTCGTGGATGTCACGATTGGCCAAAAAAAAGCCTCCAAATTCGGAGCCCCATCGGCGCATGACGTCTTTGGGCTTATAAAGCCTTCAGATTCGGAGCGCCTTTCGTGGATGTCACAATTGGCCAAATAAAGTCTTCGGATTTGGAGCCCCATCGACGCATGATGTTTTTGGGCCGATAAAGGCTCTGGATTCGGAGCCCCATCGGCGCATGACGTCTTTGGGCCGATAAAGCCTCCGGATTCAGAGCGCCTTTCGTGGATGTCACGATTGGCAAAAAAAAAAAAAAAAGTCTCCGGATTCGGAGCCCCATCGGCGCATGACGTCTTTGGGCCGATAAAGCCTCCGGATTCAGAGTGCCCTTCGTGGATGTTACGATTGGCCAAAAAAAGCCTCCGGATTCGAAGCCCCATCGGCGTATGACGTCTTTGGGCCTATAAAGCCTCCGAATTCGAAGCCCCATCGGCGTATAACATCTTTGGGCCGATAAAGGCTCCGGATTCGATGTGCCCTTTGTGGATGTCACGATTGGCCAAATAAAGCCTCCGAATTCAGAGCCCCATCAGTGCAGACGTCTTTGGGCCGATAAAGCCTCCGGATTCGGAACCCCATCAGCGCATGGCGCCTTTGGGCCTAAAAAGATTTTGGATTCAGAGCCCCATCGGCGTAGACGTCTTTGTGCCGATAAAGCCCCCGGTTTCAGAGTCCCGTTGGCGCATGGTGCCTTTGGGCCCACAAAGACTCCGGATTCGGAGCCCCATCGGCGCACAACGTCTTCAGGCCGATAAAGCCTCTAAATTCGGCTGACCAAATAGTGCCACCGAGCGACGCTCAAGGGCCGAGTAATATTTCGAATTTGGAGTGCCCTCTAGAATGAAAACATTTACACATCGAAGCAGGGATATGTAGGTTAAACCAGTACAACCGCATGAACAAGACAAATCGTTCCAACATTCAAAATAAGATGTTTAATTTAGCATACAAAAATTCAGAATGAGATAAACTTTTAGAATGAAACATTTTATTCAATCAAACAGTAATTATAGAAAAACGCAATCTGCGTTCAAAGCATTACAATGTTTATTGTCATACGGCGTCACGTTGGTACAAGCGACAGCCCCGAATCAACGCCCGTTGATCAGAGAGCACCCGCAACTTGAAATGCTTTGATCTGACCGAACTTGAATCCACGATTCACAACAACAATATAACCACCTTTGAGGCGGGGACCTTTGACGCCATAGACAACGTCAAGGCCAAGATCCAAAACAAGAAAGGAATTCCCCACGAAAACAGTAATGCTCAACGGTCGCGGCGCTACGTCGGCCTCATTTCTTGGTCACGATTGCGAAGAACTTCGCCATTGCTGTTTCTCCCTTTGAGGTGATCAGCTTTGACGACTTAGAGGCTGACATTTTTTCCCTTTTTTAAACGTCCTACCTCCTGCTCGAGTGGGTTCTCTGCTGCGATTCATTACAATGTCAAGCTCAGCCAGAGTCCGAGCTTCTCCTCTGCTGCTAAAGAAAAACTCCATTCGACATTCACACCTATCTAACCCCACGCAACAAAATCGTTTTAAATCGAGTCTGAGCACAGTAAGCGAAGTCACTGGAGCGAAAAGTCCGAGGCGATGTATTTCTACAATCCTTGCAGTGGCCCGGAGGTGATT